CGTCCTGTCCCCTTGGCAGAAAAACAGCCCCATAGCATGATGTTTCCACCCCCATGCTTCACAGTAGGTATGGTGTTCTTGGGATGCAACTCAGTATTCTTCTTCCTCCAAACACGACGAGTTGAGTTTATACCAAAAAGTTCTACTTTGGTTTCATCTGACCACATGACATTCTCCCAATCCTCTGCTGTATCATCCATGTGCTCTCTGGCAAACTTCAGACGGGCCTGGACATGCACTGGCTTCAGCAGCGGAACACGTCTGGCACTGCGGGATTTGATTCCCTGCCGTTGTAGTGTGTTACTGATGGTGACCTTTGTTACTTTGGTCCCAGCTCTCTGCAGGTCATTCACCAGGTCCCCCCGTGTGGTTCTGGGATCTTTGCTCACCGTTCTCATGATCATTTTGACCCCACGGGATGAGATCTTGCGTGGAGCCCCAGATCGAGGGAGATTATCAGTGGTCTTGTATGTCTTCCATTTTCTGATGATTGCTCCCACAGTTGATTTTTTCACACCAAGCTGCTTGCCTATTGTAGATTCACTCTTCCCAGTCTGGTGCAGGTCTACAATACTTTTCCTGGTGTCCTTCGAAAGCTCTTTGGTCTTGGCCATGGCGGAGTTTGGAGTCTGACTGTTTGAGGCTGTGGACAGGTGTCTTTTATACAGATGATGAGTTCAAACAGGTGCCATTCATACAGGTAACGAGTGGGGGACAGAAAAGCTTCTTACAGAAGACGTTACAGGTCTGTGAGAGCCAGAGATTTTCCTTGTTTGAGGTGACCAAATACTTATTTTCCACCCTGATTTACGAATAAATTCTTTACAAATCCTACCATGTGATTCATGGATTTTTTTTTCACATTCTGTCTCTCACAGTTGAAGTGTACCTCTGGTGCAAATTACTGACCTCTGTCATCATTTTAAGTGGGGGAACTTGCACAATCGGTGGCTGACTAAATACTTTTTTGCCCCACTGTAAGTTTATTTGCTCCTCCTTCAGGCCTTCAGTCACGCTTTCTCAGATTAATCTGATCCTCATATTTCACTTTATGTCACAAGATTTCGTGTATAGTGGGTCTAGTGTGGGATTTAAAAAGTAAAGCTATGCTGTACTACAGTTACGGTACTCAGCTCCTGTCAGAACACTAATATAATAATAAGTCAATTATAATATCAATAAATCTGTATAACCTAAAAACAGCGTTGGGTCTCGTCCAGATCAGATGACATAAGCTAGAAACTGTTATTTTACACACAGACTCTGTGACATCACTCAGCCTCCTCCTGCTCCACCTCAGCGCTAACAGTGAAGTTTCTCACACGTGTGGAGCTGCAGTGACCTTGCTGAGATAAGGCTGCTGCTGCTGCTGTGGGCTGACGGAGGAACCTTGGTGGAGGTTCCACGCCTGACGTTAACGCCGACAGGGGACCAGCTTCCTATAGAGACCGACCCTCCCACCCTCCTCCCTCTTTCCTGAGTCATCACGGCTCCGTAGCTGTCCCTCATCTCTAGCGCCGCCCACCAGCACCGCCTCCGCTCCAGAAACCGCAGGGGTTTGTCCCCTAAGCGACCCCTCCCATCTCCTCCTCTCCTCCTCCCATTGGTCTGCTCCTCCCCTCCTCCCCTCCCACCTCTATCACTCCTCTGTATCCCCTCTCTTCCTCTTCCTCCATCCTCTGTCCTCACTGCGAGCGTGTTTGGATTAGAGGACGAAGACGCAGAGGAAGAGCGTTTGGAAGCACATGCTCCCTGACAGGAGAGAGGGGGGAGGCTCGGCTTCTCCCTCCCCTCTTTTCCCTCCACAGCTGGAGGAAAAGATGTGAGGAGCACAGAGGAGCGGAGGACCACTTGACTGTCTGTCTGTCTGCCTGTCTGTCTGCCGGCATGCTGAGGAAACTGGTCTGCAGGCGGATCTGCTCCTGTAAGCTCCTCTTCCTCTGGACTAAATCAAATATCGATATTGATTCGCAGCCGTGATCTGTGATGAAGGTGCGGTGCGGGTACAGCTGTGATTCCAGGGGGAACGCGTGTGCCTGGTCTCGATCGTAAACACAGCAGGATTTTGTCTTTTCCTGGCCTGCTCTCTGCTGGATTGTTGTGTGGACAATGCATAGGAAGTGATGTGTATTAGGGTTCAGGTCAGGAAGCTGCAGGAGCAAGTGTGATGAGTAAACACTGAAACTTTTAATCTACTTGTGTGTGATCAGAGTGGAAGGACGAGCTGATAAAAACTCAGCCGTGAAGGTTAAATCTGATGTGAAAGGCTTCATTCTGTCGCCCGTCCTCCTCTGATTCTGTAAATGATGTCTGTGGTGCACTTTGAGGGCTGTTGTCACCTCGTTTTCTTTGTCTCTGGCATTTGTAAGAATCCTCACACAAGTACAGTAAGTAACTTCTGAAATCCACCGAGGGCCTGTTTACTCTTATGTTTATGGTCACGTCTGTTCCTTTACTTAACAGGCAGAGGTTAGAACTGAAGAATTATGAGGCTTGATTCAAAGCTGTGCTTCTTTAGGTTATGTCTAAAATGTAACCTCTGTGGTTCACTGTTAGCCAGGTGGATGTTTGGACTGATGCACTGAAATTGTCGTCTTTTCTGTATCGTTTGGTAACAATCTTTTATTTTCATGTCTGAGCAGGAAATATTCTGCCTCAGACACATTCTCACTGCTGGAAATCGTCTGTGTGTTTCAAGAGCCTGTGCCTGTGTTGAGTTTGAATGGACTGGTACTTTTACAGTCATCTTCTACTCAGTTTAAGCACTTATAGTACTTGCTTACAATAAGCCTCATTCACCCACACGCTCATACAAGTGCTCTCTTTATTCTGTACCTAAGCCCTTTTAACCTCACACTCGAGTCATTATCTTTGCTGACATATGTCAGCATATGTCTCCTCCAGAGTTTTGATTAACAGATGACCCTCTCTGAGTCAAAGCCGCGATGTTTAAAGTAAAAAGAAAAGACTCCTGTAATTAGGAGCAAGCAGGTTAAAGACCGGCTAATGTCCGACCTGCAACTGGATCCTTGAACATATGAAAACAGATTGTTGATCAGAAAGTAGCTTTACCGACGCAGGCTTTTCTTTTTTCCTTATGAAATATCACCCGAGGCTTTTACAAGGCTTTTTAACAGTAAGACATCACACTGGTGATGATGATACCCCTCTCAGAGAAGCCGTGATAAGATTAAATTCATCGATCGACAGAAAGCAAAGCGCCGTCCAAACGTCTTCTTATGTCACGCTGTTAGTAGCTGTAGTTTCAGAGCTGCTGTGGCTGGATTTTCATCTGGTGCTAACATGTTTGTCACCGTCCTGGTCCTCTCTCGGTGTCGCGCTATGTTTGTGTTAGCGTGCTGAACTTGAGGTGACAGGTGAGGCTGTGTTTTTCCCTCACACACACTCACAGTGTGTTATGCTGTGAGGAAGACCTCCAACCTGATGTCACATGACTGATGTGTTGGCTCAGCTCCCTGCTGCTCTGTGTGTGTTTGTGTGTGTTGAAACTCTAAATAATGAAAAAGGATTGATTGCTGGCCTGGCAGATTCCTGTGCTGAGGGGGGCTCACGTGGCGCTCTGGCATCCACCGCAGGAGACATCTGCACAGGGCTGGGCCTCTTTCAGCTGCTTCTTGTTGCTGTATTTTGGTTCAATTACTGATCAGTTCAAATGTAATAGATTATATTTATAATGATTAGAGGTGAAACAGATGGTTTGCTGGATATTCTCCAGATCTGGCCCCTGAATTGTGAGGATTTGTTGCCTGTTTGTTTTACATGACAGGAAGAGAAGACAAAGACATCGCCATGTGCTCTGCTCATTTCCACATCCACAATCTTTACTCTCAGAAAACTGGTTTTAATTAGTAATTAGATTACGTGTAAGTTTTATTTAAAAGAACAATGTAAAATATTTAATTTAGTGGAATCTGATCAAATGAAATGTACTATTTAGCATATATTCAGTTTATACCAAACACATTTCCCTTAATGATTAATTTTGATAATATATATTTCAGCTGCATTTTACTCAGAATGATTGTTTCCTGTTTCTAAAGGGCAACAAATTATTTTATTAGTGTATTCATTTACTATGCTACCGTAGCTTTGCATGATTCACAATTCAAAATAATCCATACTTGTCTTATACTGGGCTGTCACGCTTTAGCTCCTCCTCTAACGTTTTTTACTTTCAAAACGGGGCCTTGTAAACAGCAGGTAGGTGTCTGTATAATTAGGGATATATGCTTCTTTTTTTGGGATCAGTCTCATGTTCAGATCCGAGAGTAGAAAAAAACTGAGCACGTAAAGAACTTTGAGGCTCAGTGGGTTTATGTGTACATACACTGACATCAATAATTAAATATATATTTGGCATTATAGCAGTGTGTAACTAGCTGGACTAAAACATTTGTTTGTTAAAGATAAGTAATAAAAATACTCAGTATGACCCGTGTCCATTTATCATATCTATAATGATGTATGACAGCAACAAATATTCACATTGGAGAATCTGAAACCAGCGGATTGTCTCATAAATGATCATTTGTATGCGATAATGTGTCAGTATCAAGCAGGGGAGATAAGGGAAGCCATCAGTGTGACTCTCTGATGAAGCAAAGCTTTTATTTGTTTATAATAATCATAAAATCTGAGAGTGTGGAGGATAAATGTAGTCAGTTTTCAGATGGTTGCCCTGAGGCTGTGAGTCGGTCCTCCTGTGGTCGCTCTGGCTGGGAACACAGGGATAATTGTTGTCTTTATTGTCAGGGCATTGTGTCTCTGACCTGCTGCCCTCTTCGCCATTACCAGCTCGCTAATTCGGTGTTACAGGAATGCGAGTTATGCCCTCTGCGTCAGCTGAAGTCCAATCGCAGAAATGTCAGAGTCCTCCTGCTGCGCCGCATTGTTTGGATGCTCAGCAGTGGCGTTTTTCTTTGTGAGAACTTTGTTGTTCAGTCACATGACTGTCCCTCTCTTTTCTTCCTCCCCAACAGACAAGAACTTCGAGGACGATGACTCGGTGGACGGCGGCCGCTCCTCGTCCTCGTCCAAAGGAACCTCGCTGTCCGGGAGGAAGGCGGTGAGCATGGGTTCATTTCGACGCCCTGCCTCCGGCAGCAAGTCTGCAGGTCAGAACCACTGCATCTCCACCCAAATTTATTCATGAGGATGTAAAAAAAAATAAGATGACAGTTTTTGCGTTTTGTGGATCTGTAATTCTTTCTGCTGTGTTTTCTGCAGGGAGGGACGGGTCCAGTGCTGGAGCCGTGGATGAGGAGGACTTCATCCAGGCGTTTGAAGATGTTCCCACAGTGCAGGTTAGTACATATGTGACATGTACTTCAAACTGCTGACCGTCTCCATCTGCAGGGAGTAAGACTCCTGCTCGTGTGTGGACCTTCTCCTCTCTCTCTCCTCCATCAGATCTACTCTAACAGGGAGGTGGAGGAAGCCATGACGAAGATTCGTGACGTGCTGTCGGACGACAAGCGGGACTGGGAGCTGAGAGTGGCAGCTGTAAGGACATGTCCTGACCTTGGCCCTCGCCTCAGTTTGAAATATCAGTGAAGGTGTGTGTGTACTGAACTTTTTTTGTGCTCCACCAGCTGAAGAAAGTGCGTTCGCTGCTACTGGCCGGTGCACCAGAGTTCGACGGCTTCCTGCAGCAGCTGCGTCTCATGGAGGCGGCGTTCAAGCTGTCTGCCAAGGACCTGCGATCTCAGGTGGTGAGGGAGGCCTGCATCACTCTGGGGTAAGGCACATGGCTCACAAGATAAAAGAAAAGGAAAATAAAACCAGGCTGATCGTCTCCTCCTGCCTGTCATTAGTGCACAGCTGAAATGAATCCATCTGTCTTCCTCTCCATCCATCAGACACCTGTCGTCAGTGCTCGGCAACCGGTTCGATCACGCAGCAGAGGCCATCATGCCAATACTCCTCAACCTGGTCCCCAACAGTGCCAAAGTCATGGCCACGTCCGGCGTGGCCGCCATCCATCTCATCCTCAGAGTACGTGCGATAAAGCAGAGGCTGCGAGCGGTTTCGATGCTGATCACTGACTATGACATTTAAGGAAGAAAAAGTTTAACTTTAAACCTATTAAATCTTCATCCATGCATGGTCTGACTTAGCTGCTCTATCTGATCTGAACATGTTCTCCAGACATAACAATGTTAGCCTGATGTCATAACAGGATGGATTTCACAGAAAATTTGATCAAATCACATTTCATGTCCAGAAGAAAAGACTTGACTGTTGTCAGATGGAACAAATTTCTTTTTAAATGAATTCAAATGCAGGAGCTTGTCTGTCTGAAGTAAACTAAGAGAGCTCCTTCTGCCTTTTTCTCAACAGCACACACACTACCCACGCCTCATCCCCATCATCACCAGCAACTGTACCTCCAAATCTGTGGCTGTGCGAAGGTGAGACACACTCACATTTTCTCTTTGATCGTTTTTGTCTTTATAATTGTTTCATAATATTTTAGTGTGGTTTTATTTTTTTCCAGTTTCTTTGAGTTCAGTTTGTTTTATTATAGTTTTTATTATTATGATTATAAGTTTATATTTATCATTAATTTATTATTGTTGATGGTATTTTTTTATCATGTTTATTTTTGATTCATGTTGTCTTTGTTTCATTTCTTTTTATCTGTATATGTAGTATTGTGTTTTTAGTTTTTTCCTTTATTTTTGTGTTTTCTATATTTTGTTTTTGTTTTCATACATATGTAATTTCTTTTTTAAGTATTTTTCCTTTTTTATTTTATAAGTAGTAATTTTTATACCGTAAGTCCGTATTATGTAAATTATATTATTTTAATATTTATTTAAGTTCTTAATTATAAACATGTTTTATTATTATTATTTCCTCATTTCTTGTTTTAATTTCATCCCAGTATTTTCTTTTAATTAAGCTTTTTTATTACATTTATATTCATGTGTTTATGTTATATTTTCATATATTTTATTAATATTTGTTTACATTTTTAAATGTGAATTTATCAACTTTTTTTCTTTTATTTCACTCTAATATTTTTTCTAATTTAGCTTTATTTTATATATATATTTCAATTTTATTTATATTTATTTGTTTTATAATATTTTTTATGTGTATCTTTTTTGCTTCATTTTTACATTAATTTAGATTTTAATATTCATGATTATTTCAAAAATAATTTGATTGCTTTCTTCCTGTTTGCAGGCGCTGCTTCGAGTTCTTGGACCTGCTGCTGCAGGAATGGCAGACGAGCTGTCTGGAGAGGTGAGGAAAAATAGAACAGTGGGTCAGCTGATGGCAGGGGTTCAGTTTTAGTTGGATTAATGGTTAGTAGTATCTGAGGCGTGCCTTCAGCACTAACTGTGTGTAAACTGTGGAATACGCAGAGAGCCATGCAGTAAACACAAAACAATAGCAGTGACAGTGATTTGTGGGACACTCGGAGCGCTACATGCTACCTTGTGAGGAAATGCGACACCGGCCGGGTCAAGGTCTGTCTCAGCGGTTTCCATGGCAATGCCGGGGGATCTCTGTCTGCCACCAAAAAGCTCTTTGTGTTTCCACCCGGCTGCAGCCGCCGCCGCCAGGGAGAAACCCGAGCTGACCCCTCAGTGTCAGGGGAGCGCTCTGGTTCTCATCGATCACTCAGTCAGAGGCTGTCTGTGTGCGGATCTGAGTCATTGAGCTACAAATCAGTTTTACTAAGAGAAAGGACTAAAAATGTTTTAATTTGAGAAAATTAGGTCTTTGATTTGAACCTCAGTACCTTTCTTTAGGTTTTGTTATTAAAAAAAGTTCACAAGCTGTGATCGTTTTACTTTTTCCATCAGATTTAAATCCACACTTTGTGCTTTATTTGGTAAAGTTCTCTATGCAACTGCCTCCTGTTGCACATTCAGCACAATCTGAGCAACATCCCTAAATATTGATTAATAGAGCCGTAAGAGACTAAAGTGCCAGCAGAGCTGATGGAGTGTAGGCTGCACAGCAGATGGCAGTTTAAAGGTCACTGCTGCAGTTAATGCTGGGGCGTGTGCAGGCTGCGACTCTTCCTGTCATTACAGCTGTGAGATAGTGCTGCATGCATGGTGGTTGAGTTTGACCATGCTGAATGACGGAGTAGTTTGACCTGTTTTTATCTTCACTGACTGTACTTAATGTTAACGCCACTGAAACTTTGAGCCACAGTGATCTCAGTGGGACGCAAAAGTGGCAGCAAAGCTAAAGCAGCTGTAACAGTCATTAAGCTGATAAAATAATAAATATTAATAAAATATCCTAGATCAAACTTTAAAGGTTTTAGGGTGGCAAAGCCCTAAAGTTTTATAAACGTTTCATTCAGCTAACCATGTGTCCCTAAACCTGCTTATTTTCAGCCTGAAAGGCTTTGGGTATTGTCGACACCATATATATATGTATGTATGTATAAAACACATCTTAACAGCAAGGAGCACTGAGGATGGAGAAAAGAAATCAGCACACAAATAAACACGCGCATGTTCAAGCATTGTTTGCCTCTCAATGAAAGCAGGTACACGAACAGTTTTCCTGTTCTCCTCCACCTGCAGGCACGGCACAGTTTTAATGGAGACTATAAAGAAAGGGATCCATGATGCAGACGCTGAGGCTCGCTCTGTGGCCAGAAAGTAAGTCTGAGCGCACTCGCACCTTAAACCTACAGAAACAAAGGAAAAGGACATAAAAGCAGCATGTTTATCAGCCTGTGCCCTAATGGAGGTTTGTGGCCCTCTGGCTTGATGTTGCAGGTGTTACTGGAGCTTCCACAGTCACTTCAGCCGGGAGGCGGAGCAGCTGTTCCAGGGCCTGGAGTCGTCCTATCAGAAAGCTCTGCAGGCTCACCTGAGGAGCGGAGACAGTCTGATGTCGCTGCCCGCCTCTGACCGCTCCTCTTCCTCTTCTCAGGAGAGCCTCAAGTGAGACTTCCTCTCCTCCTCCCCGATTGATCAGTTTATTGATTAAAGTCATAAAGGGAGAAAAGGTTTTAGTCTTTGTGGCCCTTCATCTAGTTTTTTGACTAACTCACATCTCTTCATCTTCTCACAAAGAGGAAAACACAAGGATGGAAGACTAGTTCTCACCCAATAACATATCTTTAATGTAGAAATAATGGAAACATCTAATCTATGTGTAGTTTTCTGCTCCTGGACTGATTATTGATCTTTTTGCTGTCATAGACTGAATAGAAATGACTGCATTAAGCGGTTTAAGCTTAAACTTGTCCTGTAGTCACATACAGTAGTGCTGCTGTCACACCAGCCCGCTCATTCGCTTCGAATGAATTTCTGCCTTTGCAGATCACTTTCTTGCTCCCGTCTCTTTCCTCTCTGTCACTTGACTCCTGTCTCATTAACATATTCAGGGCCTCATTGATCTTTGTGCCGTCCACGTCTAATAAAAAGCTGCTGTGTTGATGTGTGTGTGCGCCGCGGATGAGCTGTTTGTCACAGATGGTCTTTTTTTAAAAGATGTGATTTACAGCAGCAGAGAATGTAACTAATGTAACTAATGTAACTAAGCCGTCCTGCTGATGAGGTGGGACTGTGATATTACAGTGTGGTATTCTGTCACACATTTGAATACGTACAAAATGCAGTTTTTAAATGATGATTTCATTTATTAAAGTAAAATGTATCCAACCTACCTCGCCCTGTGTGAAGAAGTAATCAATTCATACACTGAAGAAGTGGCCGAGTCGAAGTCTGGACTTAAATCCGATTGAAATGTTTTGGCCTTAAACGGGCTGTTCATGCTGGAAAACCCTCCAATGTGTCTGAATGAAAACAATTCTACAGAGAAGAGTGGGCCAGAATTCCTCCACAGTGATGTGAAAGACTCATTGTCAGCTATCACAAACACTTGTTTGCAGTTCTTGCTGCCAACGGTGGAACAACCAGTTATTAGTTTAAAAAAAAGAAATCAGGAAAACAGTGAATACTTTTCCACAGCTGTAAATGCAGGTCAATCAGTGTTTCAGTCTCATGTCAAAGGGCTTTTGTTTTGCCCCAAGGAGCAGCACTGGCAGATTTTTGGGGGAAGTCTTGAATGATTTTGTGACAGTTGATATCTCACACTTACCATTTCTTTGCTGTTCTAAACAAGCTTCTCTCTTTCGCTTCTTCCACAGTCGACCTCTGTCTGCAAAAAGCACTGTTGGGAGCAGCTCAGCCCGATGTAAGGACTGTTTGTTTGGCTCTTCTGTTCATTTAGAAAAACCTAAATCTGCATGCAGCAGATGATCTCCTGTCATGTTTTCTTTGAGCTTTAAGAGGAGCACGTATTTGTCTAGTGTGTGTTCCTCAATAAAAGCTCTGTTATCACCTAAATGCAAGAAAATTCGATTTATTAAAGCAAAAAAGGCACCAGAGGTGATCTAATCTGATCTGCCTCTGATCAAGTTGATTTGCCGTTAAACAGTTTGACTTTATCTGTCCTTCTCCAGCCAAACCCGCCCACACCTCCAGGATGCCGGCTGCCGCCTCCTCCCCCGGCTCACTCCAGCGCTCCCGCAGCGACGTGGACGTAAACGCTGCGGCCAGCGCCACCGCCCGCACGAGGATGCCTGCCGTACCCTCCACTGTGCCGTCGTCGGCCTCGCCCTTCAGCTCTGCCTCGGCGCTGCCTCCTGGATCCTACGCTTCACTGGGTGAGACAGCCGCTCACGTTGCAGTTATCCTGCTCCACACTCAGCTGTTGCTTCTAGCTGCAAACTGGACCAGCAGCTCCACTTATAGCAACGTATTTAACCTAAAAGCACGACCACGAGAACAGGCCGATTTATGCAAAAATCACAGAGCACACTTTATAAAAACAAAAAACAAAAAGATGGTTCAAAGGTTCACACAACAAAAACTAAAATAACAGTTTGTAGTAAAAAAAAAATCACCATCTGCTGTTTGGTGCTAATGAAACCCAAACAAATACTTTGAATAATTGCATTTATTCACCTTCAGATTCTGCTGCTTTTTATATAATTTGATGTCTTTCAGGCAGCAGGTCTTATGATCAGGATCAAGATGCTATTTCTATTTTTTCATTATATAATTGTCATGTTGGCTGATAATACGATTACTGAATCAATCTCAAATAAATAAATTGGTGTGGGCCGTTCATGCATTTGTCTCAGGTTGATCTGATCTGATCATAAGCTCACCATCCAAATCAAATTTGCTGTGTATGCCCCCTCCCACCACCACCCGTCCTCCGCCCCTCTAAAGCCTAACCTGTTGACCCTAAACCCTGTTGTGTTTCTCCCGGTCTCGCTCGCTTGTCAGACGGTTCGTGGTCTGTTAACGCAGACGGTAAGCTGTGTGGGTGTGGTGGGTGTTTTACCTCCATCAGTTCTGTAATGGTGGTCATCTGTAATGGAAATGTCAGTGCATGGACTGTCTGTGCATGGTTTACTCCAGTTTCTCACACACGCGCACACACACACCTGGAAAACTACCAACCTGTGCGGTTATAAAGACAAATATGATGACAGAATTACAAAGAAACCTGTGAGCAGCGCGAGATTTTCCCCGCCGTAGCTTCTGCTTTGAGTCTGAAGTTGTTTTACGATCACATCCAGTTTTTCCTTGCTTGAGAACAGAGTCAGCTGATTGTGTAAATAACTGATTCTGCTCCTCAGCTGTAGTTTTGACATGTAGATAAATGTAAAGCATCAGAATGAAAAAATCAGCGTTTCCTGTCCTGAGAAGTGCAGTGTTAGTCCTCTGTTAGTCGGCCTGCAAACAGCTCAGACTTCACTGACTCTGAAGTCCCGCTCTGGCTGTCAGTACGTGGAGGCTTGAACTGCTCTCCATGTGGTCAGTAAACAAAATACCTTCCTGTGCTGGTGTCGGTAGGGTTTCATCCTGTAATTCACATCCCTGCATGGTGGTGTCAGATCTGTCAGAAATAAGAGGAACAGCCTTTGATGTTGTGGCTGTTGTGGCTCCTTTAACTCAGCCCTCAGCTGCAGAGCAGGCTGAATTCACTTCTTTGTGTCTAGTTTGAAACCAAATAAACCTAAAACTCTTCGCTGTAGCCATCGTTTGAGCTTTACGTGCAGTTGTGGCTCCTTTTACTGTTCACATTAACCTTTCAGCCTGTGAGTAACTGACTTATAGATATTTTCGTGCTGCCTTTTTTTTTTGGAAGACTTCACAAACGTGCGTCTCTGTGGCCTCGGCCAATGTTAAACTTCCACAGTCTGTGTTGACAGAAAGCGAACAGAGAGACGGGCCTAGTTACTGATGAAGAAAGCACTTCATCGCTGGCTGTGACGCAGATGCACACTGTGGCTGAAGGCTTCCCGGGCACACGTTGTGATTGATGTATACTTGAAAAGACAACAGAAAAAAACACACAAAAGAGTCTCCTGATCCTCGCTGTGCCTCCAAAGCAGAAGCAGTGCCGACCTCCTGAGGGCACTGGTGGATGCTTTATCACCCAGGCTCTGACACTCGTCTGGCTGTAACACCTGCCCATCAGCGAACATGGAGACCATGAAAAACTGTCCTGCTTTCTGTTTTCTTCCACTTCTTGGCTTGTGCAGCTGTTATGACATGGCCTTTGTTGTTCTATGTCAGAGCTCAGGATGTTTGTATCCACAGATTAGGGGAAAAAAGCTTTCTCTGCAGTGCATGAAGCAGCTGCTCAGACTTTCTAGTGATTCCTGGAAGCAGAGGACACACTTGCATCTACAGACATGTACAAAAGCAGGACTGCAGTCAGTCATGTGTCTCTGCTCGTATTTGATCAGGCAGACGAATCAAACAGAAGCAGCCTATAGACACACAGAGCTCCTAATGTAGGAGAGGAGGAGGTGATGGGGCGCTGAGTGGACCCAAATGTAGGACATGTGACCCAGATGGAGTTAGGCGGGACTCCCAACCAACGCCAGCTGTATTTACTATGTGTGTGTATACGTGTCTCTTCTTTACTGTGAACTTTATAACGTAATTGTTCCTGAGTCTTTGCACCAGTTCACTCACATTGCAGCTCGTTAACCCGGAATGAAAGGTTGTTGGTGACATGTTGAGACTTCCGTCTGCATGAGGCACAGATTCCTCTCCGAGTCTGTAAATGTTGTGGCGTCTTTATATCTCCTCCATCTGTTTCTGTCTCCACATTTGAATCTGGCAGCTGAGACATTAGAGAAACAATTTGTTCTCAGTGACCAATAAACGCTTGTCATGTGACCCCTGCTACCCACAAAAACACCTTTAATGTTACCGTCCGCTGTCTTTATGGATTTAAAGCTCGTGTTCATGGATGACAGACTCTGTGTTTCTCTGGTCTTCAGGATGATCTGTATGGTTTTCCTCCCTTCAGTCTCAGTCCCTCTGTTGCTGCATGAAGCACACATGTAGGAAGTGTCACAGCAGTCTTAAGACTTCAGTGTGTTTGAGCTTTTGTCTTCCTGCGTCTCTGCCTCTGCAGGTCGAGTGCGAACAAGGAGGACAAGCTCAGGAAACGGTCCGTCAGTGACAGACACACGGGGCCGGAGTCGAGGGAAAGTCGTCTCTCAGTCCCAGCGTGAGTAACTCTGCTGCTTTTTTAGTGATATAGATCAAATTTAGATATCAGTCTGTTCAAATACATAGAGAAAATATAAACGTTTTTCTTAAATAACATTTCTGTGACTAAAAAATGGATTTGTAACTGTTTTTCATACTTTTCTAATCTTACCACTTATTTGGAAACCTAAACAAAGGTGTGACAGACATATGAACTGGTTCACCGAAATATGTCTTCCTGTGTTTCAGCTGGGAGTCGGTCAGGCTCTCCCGGGCGTCTGCTGAGCTCCACCTATGGCCGGATCCCCAGGCCCACCATGGGCACCGGTGCCACCGCCGCCGCCACGGGTAGCACCTCCACCAGCCTGACCGACAAGAGCCGACCTCGAGGTCACCGCAGCCAGGGCTGCAGCCGAGAGACCAGCCCCACCAGATCAGGCACGGGTATGGGAGGGAAGACAAACACATTTAAAAATGAAAGCATTTTTTTTAAAACACAGGTTTGGGAGCATTTGTGAAGAAGTTCAAGTTAAAAAGTGGAAAAAGAATTACTGAAAGTAAAAATCTGAGAACTTGGTATAAATATGATGCTGTCTGAAACAGTAAAGCGGGTCAGAATTGGCAGATCGGACTCCTTGTATGTGAGTCGACCTGCACGCTCGACTGGAGGCGAAAGATCTTCCTGGTTCGTCTTCCTGATGCTAACACCTGCTGCCTCCCCCCTCTCTGTCTCTGTCTCTGTCTCGCTCGCCTGCCTGACTCACTAACCGTCTCTGCTGGGCTTCAGGTGTGTCATGTCTGCCTAACCTCTCCTCCCTGCACCGCTCTCTGTCTGTCTGTGTGTCCGCCTCTGCAGCCCGGAGTCGCATCCCTCGACCGAGCATGAGTCAGGGCTGCAGCCGCGAAACCAGTCGCGAGAGCAGCCGCGACACCAGCCCGGCGCGGGGCTTCTCCCCCCTGGGTGAGTATGGTATCAAAAACTGAAGGCTGAGACAATCTCAGACGTCTGTCTGACTAAATCCTTACTTTTCCTGCTTTTTTATCTGCATGCTCTCTGTCTAATTGTCCAGGTTGTGTCTGCTGGTAATCCTTTAAAGTGCAGCTAATTGTTGTCTTTTAAGTTCCTCTGTAAAATAACATCCTCACTCCTGGTCTCTCCTTAACTTTGCGTCCTCCTTCAGCGTCCCGCCGTCACTCCCGTTCCACCAGCGCCCTGTCCTCTGCAGAGTGCTACTCAGGTGACCAGTGGAGCAGATTTAAACAGATAACAAAAACAAAAGCGGCTCAAAGCTTCCTGCCTCACCCTGCATGGCCAAAGTCGACTCTGCCTCCTGTGGTCAGAGTGGGAAGTAATCAATAATCAGTCAGATATTGGAAACCTTTACAGAGCAATCAGATGTAGCCTCCAGCCACAGATAAACCTTAAAGATGCTTAAGTGAAGTTTCCCACTCTGGTGCATGTAAAGCAGTACATCTCATTCACCTACAGGGGGCGGTACTAAACCAGTCTGGCCTGGTCCTTACAGTCATAGCTACCTTTGTCATGTTTATCGCTACCAGGGGTGTAACGGTTCTGAATCAGGGTGCAAACGTCCGCAGTCTCCTGCCTCCACCCAGTAAATCTGTCAGATAAATATAAGCTGGTGCAGCTTTAAGGTGGAATACTCTGTGCCAGAGTACAACATACTCACAAAAACAGTCAAGATTCTCTAACAAAGTTCCTCGTTTTTGTTTATTAAACTCATCATTATGAGTTGGGCTGTCGGTGGGCTGTTAGCATGGTGAAAGCTAAAGATGCTTCAAGTAAAGAGAAAACTGGGAATACTTAATTCATTATCAGCTGATCATGCCCGTGATAAAGCAAATACTTGCCCGTATGTTTTGTAATTAACCTGACTATGGATCAGGCGAATCGTTACACCCCTACCTGTTGCTATGAAACGGCTACAGGAAACAGGAGTTCATGCTTGTAAATATTGAAGATAAAGTTTTGCTTCTCCTTCAGTTTGGTGTTTTGGTTTTTTTTGCAGAGCATCATGAAGTTTATTTCTCTCATGCAGTTTATGGAGTTTGTTATTTTTCACATTTTTTAGCGAGCGCTGCTGGGTTTTACTTCTGGAGCTCTGCTTGTGTTTTGCATTTCTTTGTATTTGAGTTGATTAAACAGGCTGTTCGCTGCTCAGATCTGGACTTGTGTTATATTATATTACATTCAAACAGCCTCTCTGCTCATCACTGTGGGTTTGGTCTGGTTTAAAGCAGTTACTTAAAAATTTGCAACCTGCACAAGTAAATAACACAAATTCTTCTCATGTAATTTGAGCTCATTAAATTGTCTGAATTCACAAAAACGGGACCAAGACTCACGTCACTGTTATTGATCATCAGTTCTACATGAAGGAGATGTTTCTGTTTAATATTGAGGCGTGCCTGTGGATTTTAAAGCCTCTAATCAAACTGCTTCTCCTCCTCTGACCTCCTCCCATCAGACCGGCTGTCCCATCAGGCTCGGATCTCTGCCTCAGTCAATGCCATGAGGATCCTCAACACGGGCACCGAAGTCGAGGCTGCGGTCGCCGATGCTCTGGTGAGAACAGAAAACTGTTTTTGCCTTAATGTGAATACAAATGTGAATCAAAGATGTTGTCGCAGCTCTTTCAGCTCTGTTAATGCCCTCTCTGCTCTTTCTCTCTGGACTTTGTACATTTCAGCTCTTAGGAGACTCGAGGAGTAAGGTACAGGTAGATCTCACCTGTCACTGCATGCAGAGCATGAGCTGTGCACACTGACTTTCACGTTTTAAACATGGATGCAGTGATTTGCTTTATTTCAAGTTGTTTTAGCTTGGTAAAGGTTGCTTATCGCTCCATTAAAAGCAGCATGTTGATATGGACTCACAAGAGAGGGGGGAAAAACCCCAAAGTAACCTCATCCATCTCATGCGATGACACCAGAAGCATCCATGAGTCTGCCTGTGTAGCTGCATGCTACTTCTTCTGACAGCTGTACATTTACCCTGTGAAGTCTCGTCTTTACACTTAGCCTCTCTCATCTCCTCTCTGATGTAGCGGAGGCCAGTGAGGCGGCGGTTCGAGTCGCCGGGGATGTACTCAGACGACGACGCCAACAGCGACGCCTCCAGCGCCTGCTCTGAGCGCTCCTACAGCTCACGTAACGGCGGCGTGGCGCCGCACTACCTACGTCAGACGGAGGACGTGGCGGAGGTGCTGAACCACTGTGCCAGCGCCAACTGGTCCGAGAGGAAGGAGGGACTGCTGGGACTGCAGAACCTGCTCAAGAGCCAGAGGATGCTCAGGTGGGTGTGCCAACAGTGGAAAACAGGTCTGAAAAGCTCCGCCTCTGCAGGTTTGAGGACTTTTGGTTGATGTAAAGGGGCGGTGGATAAGGTTTAATCGTAAGGAAACATGCTGGGTTATGAGTTTAATGTCAGGAGTTTTGTTAAAGAAGGGTTTAATAAAAGAAACCTTGTAGTCTTTGTACACTTCTAATCAACCTTGTACCTTGATGCTGGCAGTCAGCAGAAAGGTTAAAGCAGAGAGATTTTAGTGGTCAGTCCAGGCTGAGATCCAGAGGCTGTGTTTTCAGCACACTCCTACTTCTGTTCAGATCTGTTTCAGCTACTGGAAATGCACTGTGCGCGGTTCAGGAGATGATCTCCAGCGAACTTGCTCTGTTGTAGCTATACACTGTATATAGTGATGGACGTGTATTCTAGTCTAAAAAGCCACACCCATCACTAGATACAAGTTTCTCATGACCCCTGGTCTTTTTTTATTTATGCAAGGGGGCGACTCCTCTGGTTTAAAACAAACAAACAAACAAAAAAGGATATGAGAAAATGAGTGTGCCTCTCACCTCACTATTTTCTCTTCCTCTCAAAGTCGAGTTTATCTAATGAAGCTACAGTAAAGTAGAGAACTGTAATGTCTCCTGTTTCTTTACTCTGTCTGCACATAAAAGCTTTCTGTTGGCAACAAAATAACCGTGCCTGTTGTTTCAGTCGTGTGGAGCTGAAGAGGCTTTGTGAGATCTTCACCAGGATGTTTGCGGACCCTCACAGCAAGGTGAGATGGCAGCATGTTTCACACGTACTCTTATTAAAAGTGAAAGCCGACGTCAGAAAGCAGCAGTTCACACTTTCTGTGGAGAGAGAGGGGACAGTGAGAGCCGGAGGGGGTAAACCTGGGAGTTTGTTGTGACTCTGAAGCTGGGACGAGAGCGTCGTGGCTGATTTCACTGCTCTCGTGTCGTCACTAACAGCAGGACAAACTAACAGTGTGTGTTTTCTTGTTGCATGCCTCCTCGCTGATGCGGACTCTAACAAACACCAGAGAGTAAGTGTTTGCTCTCACTCACATGAGAACTGTCTGCTGTCATATTTCACTGCGTGTGTACTCGTCTCAGACCAACATGTGCAGACAAACACTCAAACATCTCCTCCTCATCATCACCCCTGACTCTGTGACAGGTCTTCAGCATGTTCCTGGAGACTCTGGTGGACTTCATCGTGCTGCACAGGGACGACCTGTTGGACTGGCTCTTCGTCCTGCTCACACAGCTGCTGAAGAAGATGGGTGCCGACCTGCTGGGCTCTGTCCAGGCCAAAGTCCAGAAGGCTCTGGATGTCACGAGGTTAAGACTGAAACCTTTTCATCACTAAAGAAAAGTCCTGTATGCTTCTATCCTGCAGCAAATTAAACTCCAATCAACCAAACTGGATTTAAAGTAATTAATGGGACTTTCCTCTGTGCAGGAAATAACACTAAAGAGCAACGAGTCACAGTTTTAGTAAAGGGGAAAGTGATCCCGTTATTTAATTTGGTCCTGCAGGTGGAGCACAGGAGATATTTTGCACTAAATGTTTTTTAAAAAAGTTTATAAATTACTTTAGAATATGTGGAAATATAATATAAAGTATGTTGTGTGAACTCACTGAAGCAAGAGCAGCCGTTGTCAATAAAAAAGAGGGTGTAACTTCATCTCGTGTTCTGACCATGTTTTTCTCTCCTCCTTCCCACCTCCATGCAGGGAGTCCTTCCCATACGAGCAGCAGTTCAACATCCTGATGCGCTTCATCGTGGATCAGACGCAGACCCCCAACCTGAAGGTGAAGGTGGCCATCCTGCGCTACATCGAGGCTCTGGCCAGGCAGATGGACCCGGCCGACTTTGTCAACTCCAGCGAGACACGCCTCGCCGTTTCCCGCATCATCACCTGGACCACCGAGCCCAAGAGCTCTGATGTCCGCAAGGTAGGAGGGCATGTCAGCCTCCGTCTTCCTTAAAACACTCCCCTCTTTTCATCCCTTTAAATTCCTCTAAATGTTTCATTTTTTTTATATTTTCAGTTGTTTTGTTCTGTTTTTTTGGTTTTTTTTCATGTCTTAAATTTTTCCCCCTTAATGGTCCTTCCTCCACCCACCTCACCCGTAGACCCTTCATAACTGGGCGGGGGAGGATTTCTCAGGCCGAACCAGCACCGTGGCCTCTCTGCCCGGGGAGGGCAACCTGGAGGAGAGGTGCAAGCAGGTAGATCCTCTACCAGTGAGCATGCGCAGCGTGAATAACCTCGTCTAACCCGGTCACAAAGAAGCGGGAAGCTGCTGTGAGCGTGTTTGTTCAGGCCCGCGTACAGAGGACATTAACCTGAGAGTGTGAGCGGGTTCTGTGAATGCTTTTCAGCACTAACTGCTGGCAAACAGTGAAAAAGGTGGAGAGGTATCCGTGTACCTGAGGTGTGTGCATGAGATGCTGCAGCTGAGTGCAGCTTTAAGACTAACTCTGCCGGCCATTATGATGTTTCTCTTATTATCAGGCATGAATCTGACCTTTAACCTTTACAGTAAAACATGAAACATTTGAATCATTTGAAAGGAAACTGAGTGATAAATGCTTCCTTTAGCTTTTGCTTAACAAGTTCAATTGACATGCTGCATGTTAACAGAACTATTACTTTTATTTTTCTTGTTATATTTTTTCCTCTTCCAATTAAAATGGTCAAAGTTTCAGAGAATCGCAGTCTTTGCACAAATCTCCAAAAGTTGATTCTGTTCCTCTGGACGCAGCGTTTTCAGTGAGAGAAACGTTTCGTCACTCATCCAAGTGACTTCAGTCTCAGCTGACTGCAGGTTTCCCCAATCTTATAAACAGTACATTTGCATAATGACTGAAACCAGCCCACTGAAGGAACAATGGGCTGGGAGGTCAGTTCCTTAATCTTAATTATGCAAATTCTCATGATCATTGATCAACAACCACTGACCAAAACCCACTGATCAAAACCCACTGATCAAAGGCCACTGATCAATGGCCATGAGTACCATTCACAGAGAGTTGGGGAATGGCTGCAATCACAGCATTGTAAGATGGTGACAGATGTACCCTTAGGCCCCCTCCTCGATTCAGAGATGGTCTTTCCCTTTTCACGTTAATGGCCTCCTTGACTCTTCGCTCAAACCAGCGTTCCTCCCTGTTCAGGATGTGTACATCCTCATCCTTGAAAGAGTGTCCACTGGCCTGTAGGTGTGAACAGACTGCAGAGTCCTGGCCTGACAAGGTAGCTCTTCTGTGTTGTGCCATCAGCTTTGCCAGAGGTTGTTTGGTTTCCCCGATGTATAAATCCTGGCACTTAACAAGAGGTCAAATTGCTCCAAACTCTCAGTTTTTGGGTTTTTTTTTGTCACAGAAGCTCCACCCACCTGCTGTTCAAACCTTGAGTTTGCAAAGGGCAGCCAATCAGAAAAAAGCTGGCTTAATTGTGGACAAACTAAAATAAAATAAACAAAGAATATTTTGAACTGTAAATCATGCAAAGCCCAGAATTAAAATATGGTGCACAATAGGTCCACTTTAAAGTGGAAGCCAGGGTTATAATAAGTGAACATGGCTGAAGCCATGTTTACTCAGAGTTGATTTCTCTGTGGGAGGATTTAATCTTTGAAAGCACTCTGTCTTAATTTGTGGAGAAATTGTGGTACGGTTTTTGTTACTGCTGGACTTTGTCTGTTACTAACTGTTGAAAGGTTGGAGGTAAACAGGTTTACTTAAAAACAAAAAAAGGTCTGGGCATTAAAGCATGCTGATAAACTTGTGCATGAAATTGAAGGCTTTTATTCTGAAGGTCTAAAGGTCTAAAATTAACTGGGGACTTTTACTTTAAAAGTCCCACAACACTGAAGTATCTAAGGCTACGTTCACGCTGCAGGTCTTAATGCTCAATTCCGATTTTTTGATCAAATCTGATTTTTCTGTCTGCTCGTTCACACTACAAATAAAATGTGACAGCAAACGTGCTCTAGTGTGAACCCTCAAAGCGGCCCGCATGTGCAAAAGACGACGTCACACACAACGCGCTCTGTTTAGACTCAGACCAAACAGTATTGTTTGACTGATAGCCCTTAATATAAAGACTTGTTTCGGACGTTTCGTTTCCCAATTTTGCTTTAAGTTATAAAGTTATTTTGTTATTTACATATGGCCTAATAATGATCCTTATTGCTGTTTTAGAGGAGCGGTGCTTCAAAGGATAGTTGCAGATTTCTGTCAGAATCTGCAGATTATACAGCACAAATAAAATGTTCACATTTCTCCAACGTTGCCTTCCCAACAGTTTCACTAACATCTACACCGGATGGCCAGGAAGCGTTCACGATGTCTTATCGGGCGCTGATAATTGGCGTCTGTCTTGTGTTAGTGACATAAAAGACGGATTTAATGCGACATGACCGTTCAAACAGCAGTCGCTTTCTAAAACATCAGATATGTATCGGATTCAGTACCACATACGAAAGTGACCCAGGACGGATTTGACAATATCGGATTTGTGCCGTTCACACTGTCATACCATGATCGCATATGGGTTGCATAGGGTCAAAAAAGTTTCGCCTGCAGTGTGAACGTAGCCTAAGCGTCATGCAATAAATAGCTAGATGCTTTTATTTTGGAAAAAGGGAAACTAAAGCATCATGTAAAATTCCTGTGACTAACAGGAAGCTTTTATTTTGAACTACAGCATTATCTGGTATCATTCACGTCTGCATGGTGCTTCAGTGCGGCTGACTGTTGCAATAAAATGCTGCAAAACAATATTTTGTTTTATTTCAAACAGGTTAATTTACTTCTGGCTGTCCTTTATAACAGAGCGAAAGCTTTTCTTCATGTTCAGTGCCAAAATCAGTGCAGTGACAGTCATTAAACGTCAGTAAAGTGATGTGTAACATGTTTTCTTTGTGTGTGCAGGCAGCCCAGGTGGTGTTGATCGCCCTCTTTGAGCTGAACACTCCAGAGTTCACCATGCTGCTGGGTGCTCTGCCCAAAACCTTCCAGGACGGGACAACAAAGCTGCTGCACAACCACCTGAGGAACGCCAGAGCCAACAGCGGCATCAGCATGGTAACACACACACACACACACACACACACACACACACACACACACACACACACACACCCACTCATGCACACGCAGGCCAAATATGGAGATGTTTGCATTCAGATTCATTTAAACAATATTCTTTCAGGATGTTTTTTTTTTTTAAGATTTTATTTCCAGGAGGTCTTATTCCTTTATTTATTGATCCATACCAGAATATATTGATAAATCATCGTAGCCTGACCTTGATAACTAATATCGTAACACACTTTAAGACTTTAACTCAAACAATAAATATGTCACATGGCTGTAGATGTTTGTAATTGACTTTAAGATTATTGATTAGACAAAATAATCATTTTAAAGATGAGTTTTAGGCTTTTTTTGTTGTTTGTGTTGTATAGATGCACAAACACACTTGTTTTGATAAATATAGTAGTTTCTGTATGTGTGCTGTTCCTCTTATCCTTACATCATCACAGCTGTGGCTTTCTGAATGTTCTCACATTAAATCCAGACACTTGTGTTTCATGGATCCGCAGGCGTCTCCCAGTAACTCGGCAGGTCGGACGCCCCTGCGACAGCCCAGCAGCCGCAGCAGCCCGCTGACCTCCCCCACAAACTGCTCCCACGGCGGCCTTTCCCCCAGGTACAGAAACGGCCCCGCCATCGCCACACCTAAAATTCAAACCACGTTTCCTGTGTATAATTTTATCCACACAGATAAAATTCTGGCTTCAGCAGTTCATCCGTCATTTCCGCCATCATCCAGACTTTTATTTTGAAGCTCAGGTTATAACGCAGCGGGCGTATTTCCCCGTGTCTTCTCTTTGTTCGCTCGTTAACAGAGGAGTGTAAAGCTGCACTGAGGGGTCGCCACAGAGTTTAGATGTTGACCACTCCACTGTGGAGCCATTGAAGAGCTCAAAATCAGAGCCAAAGCTCGAAGTCTAAACTTGCGGTTTGATGCTTTGTTTTAAAAGAACGTCAGAATTTTAGGCTCATGTTCGGCTCCGTGCGTCTCCTCCTGAAGCTTCGTGTGATTTTAGACGTTTTCTCCTCTCAGCCAATCAGCAGGTTTCCTCACAGCTGTCATACTAATGATCCCTCCGCCTGTACTAACTCTGACTGAGAGCACTGCTTCTCCTTATCTTCCACTCTTTTCACATCTCTTCTTCTCTCCGGGCTCCTCCTCCACCTCTTCCTCCCCGGCTGGTCGCAGTCGGCTGTGGGGTTGGAGCGCAGACGGCCTCTCCAAGTTCCCTCCTCCACCCTTCCCCTCCCCTCTTCCTCCACCCACTGCCCACTCTTCCCTCAAGGCCCTGCGGCGAGCTTACTCACCCAGGTAACCCTTCTTCCTCCCCCTCCTCCTCCTCCCTCCTCTGTACGGGGTTTCACAGTTTAACAGTTGGATCTGTCTCTGTAGTGATGAATGGATTTCTAAGCTTATTTTTAAAGATATTTTGGAGTTCTCTGTGAAACCTCGAGCTTCCATCAGTCTGTCGTCACCTCTGCTGCCTCGGTGCCTCCATCAGCTTCGTGTGTCTGTTTTTCTTTTTGTCGTCATGGTGACTGAAAGGTGGCTTTCCTTCTGTCTCTCATCTGTCCACGTGCGCTCGTCAACATGCACGGCTCTGCACTTCCTGTTTCCTGGTCATGGACAAACCATCCCTTGGTACAAGATTTGACTAATTTGTTTGGCACGCAGATGCTTTTGTGTTTGTCAGTCGTCATTCACAATCTTCAAGATGAAAATGGAGCTGCTTCATGTCGCTGACATTAAAGGGATCATAGGTGCTGTTAAGAAGAAGAGCCTCTGTACTTCCACCAGTCTCTTAGAGGGACAGTCCACCTCAAAGACAGAGGCACACGTTCTTCCTCCTACAGTGGCCACTGTAGCTAGAATTACGCACTGAACATGTCAGGGGTAAGAAAACAGAACTCAGTTTCTGCAGCCTACTGACATCTAGTGGTGAGTTTTTACAAAGTGTAACTTTAAAGTTTTTCTTAAGAAATTTATTACGAGACAAACAAAAAGTAACACAGCACAGTCTGATCTAAACACCAGTTTTCTTCAAACCTCGAGTGGATTAACTGACCACCAAAGTAAAATGGGGACAACTATTAGTTTGTAGGGAAAGAAAAATATTTATAGCATTAAATTCCAATTGCATACAAGAAAATCCTGCTTTGAAGATCCTGGATAAACATGATGTAATGGATGAAAGTACCTCTGTGTTTGGGGATATAAAAAACAAAAAAACCCAAACAGGTCTGGAGTCCTTACTGCTGAGTTTTCCAAATGTGTTTTTGGTGCTTGGAGCACCTCAGGGCGATTTAGTGCTGGGGCCGACGCCTCTACAGCTCCAGGTAAATATGGATAACACGCTCTACAGGCCAGAGGAAAAACATGTGAATCTGATTTAGCAATGAACTCTCCCTGTAAGTGACGATCCCCTGACGATGTTGCCTACATCCTGTCTAAAATGCCCATTGGACTTGTCTCGTGCTGCAGCATGCTGGAGTACGACAGCGAGAACCTGAACTCCGAGGAGATCTACAGCTCGCTGCGCGGTGTCACGGAGGCCATCCAGAACTTCAGCTTCCGCAGCCAGGAGGACCTGGTGGAACCGCTGAGGCGGGACGGCAAGAAGGATGGCGTTATGGTGAGGAGTTACAGGGAGGAACCAGAGGGCAGATAACTGAAATAACTGTTAAACATATTCAAATACAGATAATTTTTTTTGGGTTGTTTTTTTTTTTTCGTCAAAAAGAAAAAAAAAGATTATTTTATTTTGGAGTAAAGACTCAGAATAACTCATCTGCTCTGGTGTCACCGAATCTTAGACTGGAGGCGGGGCTTCCTCGGACTCCGAACCTCGTCCCAGCGGTGATGCAGTGGAGGGCGGGCGCACTGCCCTGGACAACAAGACCTCTCTGCTGAACACGCCGTCTCCTCGATCCTTCGCCGGCCCGCGCTTCAGAGAGTACAACCCATACAACTACACGGACGGCATCAGTACGATGGATAAAGCTGCGCTGAAGGAGGCGCTGTACGAGGACGCTGTGGAGCAGCTGCGAGAAGGTGGGACCTTAGGACAAAAGCTGTGCAGGAGTGTGTGTCCTGCTGCGTCGGTAAAGATTCAGTTTTTCTGTCTTTCCCGTCCCACTCTGCAGGCCGCCGGCAGGAAAGTGTGGAAAACAAGATCCTGAACCCCAAAGGTTTCCCAGGTAAACTCACCAGAAAACCTCAGAGGTGAACAAATTATTTATTTGATCTTTGTTCTCACTTTTTTTTAAAAACTACCTCTTTCCCCTCCACCTACAGCCGGGGCTGCTGAGCAGCTGGAGCTGGTCGGAGAGCTGCTGAAGGAGCTCTCCCAGGGCCAGGCAGGGGAGCGGGGCCCCGAGGAGCGCCGGGGGACCCTGCTGGAGATGCTGAAGGTGGCCCGGGAGGACAGCTTGGTGGTGTGGGAAGAGCACTTTAAGACCATGCTGCTGCTCCTGCTCGAAACGCTGGGAGACAAAGACGTGAGGACGCGAGGCTTCCGTTGTTTTTGATTTTTTTCCCCACTGCTGTGAATGTCCTGTGAGTGACTCGTTTCCTCTCGCTGTCCCAGCACACAATCCGGGCACTCGCCCTGCGAGTCCTAAAGGAGATTCTGAGGAACCAGCCCGCCCGCTTCAAGAACTACGCCGAGCTCACCATCATGAAGATGCTGGAGGCCCACAAAGACTCGCACAAGGAGGTGAGGATGAAAAAGAACCCAGAGGCCACTCCTCCGGTCTTCCTGTGATTCTGACCCTCATGGCGCTCCTTTCTTCTTTTGAAGGTGGTGCGGGCGGCCGAGGAGGCGGCCTCCACGCTGGCGGGCTCCATCCACCCCGAGCAGTGCATCAAGGTGCTCTGCCCCATCGTGCAGACGGCCGACTACCCCATCAACCTGGCCGCCATCAAGATGCAGACGAGAGCCATCGAACGCATCACCAGAGAGCCGCTGCACCAGCTGCTGCCCGACATCATCCCCGGACTCCTGCAGGTTTTTCATTCTTTAAATTTGTAGATGCTTTAACTGCTCATAAACACGCAAGATTAGCTCATGTTACAGACTTGTATCCACCATTTGGGCTCCAGTATGCAGGATGTGTGAACTGAAATGTATTTAATGTTTGAGTAAATGAAAACACTTAAAAATGGTTAAACTGTGTTATTACAAACACAAGAATACAATATGGTTAAAATCCAGAGACAGGTAAGATAACCATGCAGCACACGAATAGACCGAGACTGCCTTTAGACAGTTTTTTATACTGAAATAAAACTAGTGTCAGTAGCACTCGTGTGTTTCATGTTGTACCTGAAAAGACTGAATTTAGACACATATTGAAATATCTTTTTAATTTCCTCTGCCGTATGATCAGCTTTATCCCAGAAATTATTCACACAGTCATCGGTGAGATAAACTCTTTTTTGTTTCAATTGTGTTGATATCAGTCTCTCCTTCTGCTGTTTCAGGGCTACGACAACACTGAGAGCAGCGTGAGGAAGGCCAGCGTCTTCTGCCTGGTGGCCATCTACTCTGTGATCGGAGAGGAGCTGAAGCCTTACCTGGCTCAGCTGACCGGCAGCAAGGTATTTCAGACCACACAGCTGAAACGGCATCCTACACGTAGAGACGATTCACCGCAGAAATATTAAGTCTTTAAAAGTACAGTGAAAGGGCGTTTGCAATCGTGCAGTTTGCCTGTTTTTCCCCTCTTTTAAATTCACTATTTTTGTGAGTAAATTTTTTTCTTGTAAGTTTGACAAAAGCTTTTAATTTTTACATTTTTTCTTAATAATATTCAATTTTTGACAGATATTTGCTCTTTTTTCATAATTTTGACAATTTTTTCTAGTAAATCTTTCTCATAAATTTATCAACAATCTTCTCATAAATTTCTCTGTTTAACAGTATTTTTCTTGTATTTTTTTATTTTTTTTTTTCATAAATTTCCCAGTGTTTTTTTTCTTAATTGTGAACTAACCTAAACTGTGTTTACCTGTTTGAATGTTGTCATATAAATAAAGTTTTGTTACAATAACTTAACTTTAGTATAGTGTTTAAAGAGCAGTGAGCTTTAGATTATCTGCAGAGCTCTTGGAGTCCTCTGACCGCGCCGCTGTTTTCCTCCTGCAGATGAAGCTGCTGAACCTTTACATCAAGCGGGCGCAGACCTCCACCAGCAACAGCAGCAGCTCCTCCGACATCTCCTCCTACTAACTCCTGCAGCTTCCATCCTCGCAGACACGCTTATAAACAGTTTCATTCCATCAGCCGGTGATCGACCTGAGGGGCGACGTCACCACCAGTGGGATCATCATCAGTTTCTTTGTAGGACCAGGTGCCTGGCACCTCATCTTCTTGACCAGCTTCTGTTTCCCAAACCATCTTCCATCTCATTCCTTCAGCTGCTGATGGAGCTGAAGTCCCTGAGGAGCTCATGCTGTCACGGCTCCAGTTTCATGTCCATCATCCATAAAGTTCAGCTCGTTTTTTGGAGGTAGGGTGACCCTGGCTTTTGAGACGTTTCATGAAGATCCACCACTAGATGCATTAGCCTTAAGACTTCATCTTCCATCTTCCAGTATGGAAATGATCAATTTTTAGAGGCCGTGTGCCTGAAACCAAGATCTCCTCTTCCTCATCTCATCATCGTCGTCTTTAATCTCCTGGATGTGAGGTGCAGTTTGAAGCCGAGGAGATCGTGGAACCATGAAGGACCTGAAGAGGAGAGTTTTTGCAGTGTAGCTTCCTCCTTCTGTCAGTATTTTTATTCCTTTTTAGTACCTTTAATCCACTTCCTGGACACTGTTTTGCTTTGACACATCAAACCTTTTATTGAATGTAAAGAGCTTTGAGTGAGCGCGAGTCTCCTTCGTGAACTACTGCCTCATCGATGGGACGTTTTCCAGTTTTTAACATTTGAATGAGTTGTTACAGAAAGTAGCACTACGGTCTTTAAAAGGCTGAATCCCAGAGATAATCGAAAGATCAACGCAAGCTTTATTTTGAAAATGGGCTCATGCCTCTGTGAGTGCGATGGGAGAATCGACGGGGTTGCACTCAGTCCTGGAATAATCTATTTCAAAAGATGTGAAGCTCGTCTCAGTTTACAGTGATTGATCATTTGGCTGGCCAATGATTTTAAGCACTACAGATCAGCAAAGTTTTATTGTTCTGGGCCCAAGAACCAGCAGAAAACAGCAGTGTTTATATTTTAAAGTCATTTTTTAAGGTGTGAAAAAGGAACAAATTATTTCTGTTTTTGTGGCACTCATCAGTTAGATTTCCATTTAATAGTCAAGGCTAAATATTTCACCTCACAGATCACAGTTTTCTACCTGAATTGGAAAAAAAATGTCAAATTGAAACGGCCGTGTTTTTAGATGAAGAACTAGACTTGTGAGTGAGAGTTATTTTGAAATCACAGGTTTGCTTTAGTTAGCTGTCTAAATGAGCTGTTGGAGATGAGGTGGAGGTTTGAAAGAGACAGACCACACACACAGATTTAATATTCAGTGTTGGAAATTAGATTTGTCCTACATGCGCGTGAACAGCACTTTCTTGTATACGTGACTTTCACAATAAAAGCTTTAGCAGCAGCAGGGTAAATTTCAGCTGATTAAACAGCTTACAGAAGCATGTTGAAGAGCTGATCGTAGGATTTAAGTAATCTTAACTTTAGCTTAGGAAGTTTTGAAATTTAATGCTGCCTTTTATTTATATAAATATTGTTTTTAAGAAGGTTTTAATATATTGCAGTGTTTGAGAAACAAGCTGTTAAAATGCTGCGTTGGACTTCATTTCTAATTGTTAGAAAAAGTTTGAAAAATAGTGTAATTAGTCTTTAAATCATCATTAAATTATCAATATTTATGTTTAAATATGTGTTCCAGTTATCAACATAAAATGTGACTTCATTTAAGCTTTCATTACAGATCTCTACATATGACGCAAAGATAACTCGGCAGCAGAAAATACTGACCTAAACACGTGTCGATTTCTCTGTAGCATTTCTGCTGATGTGAACATAGCAGGCAGATTTATTGAAAGACAAAGATTTCTTTTAAGTTGTGATAGAAAGGAAATTTTGCACACAACTGTAGAACATGGATGGATGGATAGTCTGCCCAGTACTTTTTTGGGTTGATCCTAAATTTAAGGAGAGCTTTTCTTCTTTTCCCCTATTTCCGGTCAGAACTTTAAATGCATACTTTCATAAAAGTAGATATAAGAACCAGGACACTTAAAGCAATACTTTCCAATTACACACAAACATTTAAATATTATCACTAATTTCAAGTATAGCACTAATCCATCTTCTTATTTAAAAAAAAAAAAAAGAAGTATTTATTTATTAAAAATGTAAAAAATGACTGTCAGCTTGACAGACTGAGGACCACAATAAGAAAAATTCCAAAGAAAACATATTTTTGGTGATTGCTTTGGTCGTTCACTCATTTGGACTGTAAATATCCTCACCATCATCTAATTTATGTTAGACAACGTAAAGACTGAACTCACTTTGTAAATGTTAATAAAAAAAATGCACATTTTGTGACCAAAAGGAGACAATAATTAAATACAGATTTATGATTTTTTTTTTCAGGCCAAAGGTAGAAAGCTTCTCATCGTCCTACGTAAATATGAGACTGATATAACGAACAAAAAAGATTAAATTGTCTTTTATTGAGTTTTAAATGGAAAATCAAGCTGATGAGTGTCACATAAGTTTAATTTTTTTTTCAGCTATGGTGGGTTTTTAGTGGCTGTCAAAAACTAAAAGGTCAATCAGCTCCTAATTAAAACCACTGTAATGACAACAGTGTTGCTCTCTCCTGTGAATTGAACGGCCCAGCTTGGGTTAAACTGGGAGTTGATTAGTTTTGATGACTGCTGTCAAGTTTAGACTACTGTGATTAGGGGACTTTCATTCCAAAATACTGTAATATATATATTAAAGCTCAAGCTGAAGGTCAAAATAAAGGCCTAAATATCTCAGAAATAGTATTAGCGGCCGTGCTCTCTGCATCAGCGGCTCCCAAATCGAATGTAAGTCACTTTTTTGACCTTTAAAATGTGAATGACAAACCTGTGGGAAAGATTGACGATCTGAATCATTAGATGCTACTACATGAGCGCGACAATGCTGAACTGCTGAATGGTGAAGTGCCAGTGGTAAAAAAAGAAACAGAGTGGACATTAGCAATAAACTTCAAGAAATCCAGCTGGGATTTCCTTGTGGAAACACTGTAGATTCCCATTTAGGTCCTCCTTTGAGACGCTCCGCCGGTCAGTGTAAAAAAGTGTCATTTTCGAATAAGCGCACCTATAATTAAACCTTCTGCTGCTTATTATAATACTAACAAACGCGCCTAACCACTCTGGTGTATGTACTTTATCTCAGCAGGAAGTGTAGGTGAAGCGATGACGATGGAAAAACGACTGAAATTTTTAATAGTGATTGATCGACTGACTGATTGCACTTTCCTGGTGCTGAACTCCGCCCATCACGCACACTAAGTGAGTCCAAACAAACACTCCAGAGGGGGCAGAAGATGAGAAATAATCCAACATTTCCAGCAAAGTGATTTGTTTTCTTGCTGAGAGTCAGATGAGATTACAGAGATTCCATTCTGTAAATTTGGACCCTTTTCCCTTGTGTAGAAATGGCTTGCGTGGGGATCCGAACATTACAGATCATCCATCATTACAAGCTTAATTTTAGATATTTACAAGAATGTCAGAACTTTATCTGATTTTTCTAAGCATTTAGCTTAATTGAACTACATTTTCACTAACTAACATACAATAGTAGACAGTGCTAAGGAACATCCAAGTAAAATCCTAGAATTTGACTCCGTAAAACGAAAACTTCTTGAACAGCTAATCACAGCAACACAATGCTTATCATGTGTCAGATAACTGCATTAAAATGCTCCAAAAGGGACTGAGCACAAACTGCCACTACATGCTGATGATGTGATTCTATTTATTATCCAAATATATTAATCACCTCAAGCCAGAGGTCCAGTTTAGGAACTCCAATAGGCTGAGGTGAAGTCTACCAGACAGCTAAAACCTATAGCTGCCTGTGACACACCATCTGGCCATCAAGCAGATAGGCCACGCCTTAATACATGTGAAACAGGTGGTCCCAGTGTAGCATGGTCTCTACTTTAAACTAGTGGAATTTCTCAGTGAAATCAAGCTTTGTCTGTCAGTCTGGTTTTTATGAAATTACAATACCTACAAAACTTTGCAGCTCTTGCTCTGACCAAAACTGTTTTTGTAGCAGCTGTGAAGATGTTTACTTCAGCTATAAATTTGGACATTTTACCACAGTAGTCTATGGGGACACTGCCTCTAGCACACATTAGAGGATTTTCAGTTTCAGCATTAGTTTTACTTCCAACCTCTGGGGCTGAAAAGTGAAGCCAATATGGAATCTGTGTTTACATCTTCAGAGGTAGTGTGTTGTCGGATGCATGTAGAAATAGAAATGCTTTCTGTTGCTATACCCACCCTCTCGAGGGTCCCAGTTTTTATTTCTGCACATTCCTGCATATACGTCTGACTCTCAGTAAAAAGCAAACATTTCCCAGAATGTCTTTAAAAGTGAAGGATGTTTCCAGGCCTTACTGAATCTCTTCCGACACATTACTTGGACTGTTAAATGTACTGTACCAGTGGCCGTTGTCACTCTTCTCAGCTTTGAGAATCTGATCAGCGTTTCCCTCTGAACTGAATGTCGAAGTCCTCCATAGCGTGTCCAGTCCAGTGGTGCTGATCCGGTGTTAAACTTGCTGCAGTTTAGGCTACAGTTTTGGCAACTAAAACTCAGTTCCCTTTATTTCAATCTACAGTGTAACTTGAAACTGCGTCTGCATGAGTGTGTCACAGGAATCGTTAAATGTAGTCAACTTGAAATTAAGATTTGAGAACATTATTTTGATTTCCTGATTGAGTGCCTTTGAGGAAAGATTTCTTGCAATACACCTGGTTGTTCTGTCCAATACTAACCTGTACTAACACTATGATTCACTGCTTCTGAAGGCGAGAAGAAAACCTTTTTAATGATGCTGTAAATACGCTTCAAGCTTCTTCTTTTTTCCATTCGAACGACTTACAGTGCATGGCTCCAGTTTGTTTTTTTAGTTGGTTAGTTTCCTTTCATGCTACACAGTATTTATATTCTGTTTTATTTCCCTGTGTATGACTGTATATATTTACATGTTTGGTTCTCTTTCACCTGTGATAGATTTCGCAGAACTTGAAATAAACTATCAGACTTCTTTTCTCTATTGTCTTTATTACAACATTTATTTGTGTTTTTATCCAGGTCCAGTTTTCTACGAATTCATTTGACGTCTAAACTCAATTTAATCTTGGTCACAGGTATCTAATAAAGAGCAAATTTCAACTAAATATTAATAGATTTAAAGGACAAGTGGAGGAAAATTCTTCCCATTTTATAAGGTTTAAAATTGTTTTTATTACCCGTCATTGTAAAAGGCTGATGAAATATTGTTGTCACCCTGCTGGGCAGGCAGACAGCATAAACACCAAAGTTTTTGAATGTTCACTCAAGAACAAGGTGATGTAGGATTATGAAATTGATTGAAAAAAGGGGTTTAGAGGAAAAAAGGAGGCAACGGGATGAATAGCGAAAGTACATAAAGAAGAAGAAAAGACGGGTAAAAGTACGTAATGAAACAAAATAAGCAGGAGTGATTATATGGAAGCAGGGCAGGAGTAAGGACAGAAAAGAAGGTCAGGAGGGAAAAGGACTGCTGAAAAGCACGTATGAAGGGTTAAAGTGAGGACTTAATAGGGAAGGGAAGAAATAAGGAGGGACAGTGAAATGATGGATGAAAAGGTTGAACATTTTAAGGTGCAAGGATGAAAAGGAAGAGGCAAGCACAGAGAGGAAAAAATGAGTTAAAAATGAAGGAAGGAAAACAGGAAGGAAAAGATTAATAAGGAATAGTTGGAAAAAGAAGAGGAGGAGTGTAAGGAAGAGGAATGTGATGAAAAGGAAAGTGAGTAAGGATGGAAAAAGACAAGGAAAAAAATAAAACAGAGGAGAAGAAAGCAAAGGAAAATGTCCGAGACTCCTGGGTTTAAAGTCTCATCTACATCTAATGCTGCCGCATCCACCTGCTGAGGGAAATACAGTGGTTTTTCTACAATTTGCAAAGAGAAATAAACCTCACAGCCAGTGCAGGTCATCAGGAATAAAGAGGTTTGTAGTTGTATGGCAGGTAACTGCCACTCCTGAAATATTAAAGGTGGCCAGGCCAGGAACCAAATTAGACCCCGATTAGCTGATTCTAGGAAGCTGCAGATAAGCAGTCTTCAACAGCTTCAGGAAAATCCAACATTCAAACAGCTTATTACTGACTTTATTTCTCTATTTTCCCCTCTATCTGAGGGACATCAGCCCCTTATGTTGGTTTCAGAGAAAACCACCAAAACATATCAATAAGTCCACTCTCCTGGTCCTTCAACAGTGTGTGTAAATGTGCATCTATGACTTCTTGCACATGCCCAGCCTGAGGAAGCAGTTCAGTGGACTAAGCTGTTTAAAATAATAAGCTTTCAACGGAACCTCTAATATCTGATGTTTTTGATAGAAATGATTGAACACAGAAATCTAAAGGTCAAGGCAATGATATTTTCTCAGAAATATTTTTTAGTTCATGAAACATTGCAGGGTTATTAACTTTTAGAAAGATCTGAGTGTAAGCTGGAGCTAATGAGCAGCAGCTGTTGTCAGGGTTACAGAGGAGAACAAAAGACAACAGCTTGGAAATCATCCAGAATTTGAAAGGGAATATACACCAAGTTTCTTTTTTTTAAATGCACAGAAGATGTGTTTGTAAAGCAACTTAAAGTATTTGGAGTGATAATTAAGTCTGAGTTAAGAAGTTAGCTGATTTTAAGTAATGTAATATTGGCTGTGGTAAAATGAACCCATCAGATTGGATTTGAAATGGTCAGTATCTTACTTGACACATAGGCAAAAAACCCTCAAATTTCAAAACATGGTGCCAATATTATGTGTCCAGTGTCTAGTAGTGAGGTTGTTTCTTGACTTTTGGTTGGTAGTACAGCTTTCAAACACTAACTTGAAACAACCTAAGAAAATCTTAGATGTACTTGGCCTCTTGGCCTGACACAGACACAAGTGGACACTGAGACTCAATCACAGTAAAAAATCACAGTAAGAGTGTTAAGAGCATTAGGGGTTCAGCGGCGTTTTCTCCAGTTTTCATCTTTGAATGTTTATTTGTTTGTGTTGACAGGTTACCAGATAGATCTGAGATGTTGTGGTTGCTGTTCTTTCTGCTTCCTCCAGTGAGCAATGGCAACATCGTCGCCAAGAACATCGCTCACACAGAAAGACACGACCATGGTGAGTCTGAGCGCAACTGCTTAAGACTGGCGGTTTTTCAAACTGGTGATTTCTTTTTATTTTCTGCATGTTAGGTCCACTACTCAAAAGTCAAGCGTAAGATGACTGCTTATGAGATCACCATAAAAACTGTGTGTGCTGTCCATGGTGCTGAAATGATAACAGTTTATTTGAGTGGAATAAAACGTTTTTAAGGAAAGATGTGTTTCTTAAAGTTTATTACTGTAAATCCTCTGACAGGATTCACATCAATCCAGGGCATGATTATTTTAAGTCATCCCTCCATTCTTTCTGTTCTTTAGACATTTCTCTTTGAACCTCACAGGATGTGAAACTCCTGCACAAATAAAGGCAGTTTCACCAATTTGTAAAAATCTAGTATCAACAGGCATCGTGGAACAACAACTGGTGGCTCTTCATTTTAAAAGTGCAAAGACTATCTAATCATAGTATATAATAATTATGTACTAACTATTCTATACAAAACTATATATACAAACTATTCCAGCATTTTGGCGAAATCTCAAAGGGAAAATCAAAGGGAAAAGCCATAAATCTGCATACTGGATGCAAACATACGGCCTTCCCTTTTTCCCTGCTGCTGCAGACTGAAGCGCCACAGATTTTCCAATGGATTACTGCTCACTTCCCACGGCATCATCTTGATGGGCACGCAGGGTTTCACTACATTAATCACCACACTGAGGCCCTGCTAAGAATTAAACTGCCTAGAGGTAGTTATGCTGTAAAGCAGTAAAGTTATTCTGTTTATGTAAAATGACCATTTCATATAGATCATTAATCTATATGAAATGGTCATTTTACATAAACAGAATGCTCTCTATAGCTAAGACTGATACATAGACACTTATATTAATCCCACAAGACGAATTACTTTGATTCTAAGAGCTTGTTTACTTTTAAGCAATTTAACTAGGATTGTAACTTTTACTCGAGTAAAAAGCCTAAATATGTTTTGTTTTTTTTTAACTCAGTGAAACAGTTACCTAACACAAAATTATATTTAAAGTCTCCATGTTTTATGTAATAAATCTTTAACAGGACACAGAAGTTACTCCTTGGCAGGTATCTCAGTCTGGGTGTTGCATTCATACATTTTATAGATTAGCTGATAACTGAGTACTCCACTCTTTCATACACATATCGTTACTTCTTGATCCATAAAACCAACACAACAGCAACCAAAAGGATTCAAACTACAGCATCCAGAAACCAAAAGCTACGCCCATCTTTACATAAACTCTGTAGGAGTTCCACAGCTGAGGGAAGAGGAGCAGCAAAAGCCTGACCAGCAACCACTAGATAAGAGCTCCAGACAGTAAAGATGTGCTGCAGTATCAGAGAAGTTACTTTTCTTCTAGTTACAAACTTCATTCTGATCAAAAACAATGTGAGAAAACCTTTGTGTAATAAAAAAAAAGACTGAACTCTTCTTCGATTAATAAATAATGCATACGAAATACAATTCATCCATTATTTAATGATTGCTGTGAGGTTTTGTCTCATCTCAGGATTACACAGTGAAAAACTCGGTATAGGAGGATTTGTTGTGTGTTTTTGTGTGTGTGCTGAGGAATGCCTCCCCTGCACCCTGGTGACACACCTGCACCTCAAGGCTCTGCATGAGTGGGTGGGTGTGGTGGAGCGGAAAGTAGGAGGCACATGGGGATGGGGAGGAATGTGTGTGTGTGTTTTATTGAGTGCTGGAATGACTTTTTCTAAACACGGTGTTTTTTTAATATCGGTATCTATGAAAGATAGTGATCTATATGTAGCTGGATGACTCTGGTCTATATTTGATTTGCTTTTGTGATCATTCTTGTCTTTGTGGGGGAAATTCAAAACAGGTGTTAATAATTTTATGATTTTAATGGTTTTAATATTTGTACAGAGTATCTACAGGGAAACCTCTCTAACATGTGCCCACATTATTCTGCCAATTCTTTCCTCCGGCCACTGTTTAGGAGCTGAAATCACTGACAAAAGTGCATTAGTTATGATTCTGCCATGAAATAAGGTTTGTTTCACTTCAGAATAATTTTCCAGAATGTTTGACCTTTTATTTCTGGCATGAAATATGCTGTGTTTGTTACATGTGATCGGTGTGATGCAAATAAATCATTGTAAACAAATATTCTATAAAATCTATAAAGCATAGAATAAAACTTTTTTTAAATGTATAATAAGAAGATCAGTCACACTTAAATCAGGCTGAAGTAATGGAGTAAAAAAACATAACTGTACATTGAGCTGAATTTGATTAATTACTCTGGACACTGATGAAGCTTAAAGGTAAGTCTATCCTGTTGGTGCTCTTCAGTATGTGAGGCCAAACAATTAAAAATAATAATGCTCTGATCTTACTTCTTAAAGTAAACCTGGTCTTAATTCTTAATCAACTTTTGTCAGGTCCTAAAGCAGACTGTGATCATGCAACATGAACATGATTTACCCAACATGTTACAGCTATAAATCACTGAGACAGAATCCTCAGTTTTATTATTTACTCCTCAAGTCCATTGGCAGCTGAACATGAATATACAACTGTTCAGAAATATCCAAACAGGTCATGCTTTATAGGATCTCATAATACATTCAGACGTTCACTCTTTGTGCTTTCAAATGGCTTTTAAATTTTAAACCAGAGTTTTTAGAAATGTATTAATTTTTTATTAAGTGAAACGATATTCTAAAGTTATTAAATATTTGAACACTGTATTGTGTATTATGCTATTTTTGTAATATTATCAAAGCAAATCAATATTTATTAACCATCCATCCATCCATTCGCTTGTGCTTATCCTTTTCAGGGTCGCGGGGGGCGCTGGAGCCTATCCTAGCTGTCTTAGGGCGAGAGGCAGGGTACACCCAGGCCAGGTCTTCCTGATAAAAGAAAGTTTTTCCTTCCACTGTCATTACAGCGCTTGCTTATAGGGGCTCAAATGATTGTTGAGGTTTTTCCTTACAACATAAAGCACCTTGAGGTGACTGTTTTTGTGATTTGGTGCCCTATAAATAAAACTGAATTGAATATTTCTCCATAAAACCTTCCACTGAGTTATAACCAGTCTTGGTCAAGTTACTTGAAAATGGTAATTGGTGATTACTTCTCCAATTACTCCCATTACTTTACTGATTTCTTATTTTCAAAAGTAATTAGTTACTTTATTACTTAGTTACTTTTTAAAAACATGATACACAACCTGAATACATTTTTTTTCTGTAAAATCGATAATATAAAATAGAATCAAATCAAAAAATCTCTTTTAAAAAATGTTTTATGAGTTTTAATCTTTTAATTTTATGCACATGGCATTGAGGAAAAATTAAATTATATGAAACAGTCTTTGACTTTAAGAAATTTGTTTAACGTTTAGTTCTATTTTCTGCATATTCCAAGATATGAAATAAAATATTTTTTTGTGTTTACACTAGGGCTGCCACGATTAGTCGACTAGTCACGATTACGTCAACTATTAAAATCGTCAACGACAAATTTAATAGTTGATGCTTCGTTTGAAGCTTTGTAAGATCCCGAAAAATGCAGGAATAAGTAGGATTTAAGAGTGTAATAACAGACTGAAACTGAAGATGGCAGCACTGCATGTACAAGGATGCCAGCTGCCGTTAAACCCCGAAGAAGAAGCAGTGTCCGATTTCATAGCTGTGTCCAAATTTAGCGGCTGCATCCTTCAGAGGCAGGATTTGTAGGCCAATTACATAACGGCGACGCAGCGAAGCCTGTCCAAATTCGAAGATTCCCCCAAACGTGGCCGAAAAATGCGTCCTTCATTTCCCCAGATTTGAAGGATGGGTCGGGTGTATACTTCGCGGCCCAACCTATCCCACAATTCATAGCGCGGCCCTGCCAATTCCAGTTTTCAACAATGGCGGCAGCTACTTACAAATTTCTGCTCGGTTTATCAAGACATCACATATTTGCAAAAGGGCTCTGACGTGTTCGGAGACGTCTGTTACCCACCCGCTCAATAGCTAGAGGGTTCAAGGTTCACTAGAGCTGGCGAGAACAGTGAACTCCCGGCACATCATTTTCAAACCCCTTTGTGTTCTTTCGCATTGTTAATGTTTGGCTTTTTTCAGTGTTTTATTTGTTCCTCAATAAATTGGTTTGGCTGAGATTAAAGTTAGAGTTTTTACACAGCTGAATAAATGTCAAACAGAACTGATTAAACAGAAGCGTGAAATGGTCGAGAATTTACTCCAGTGTCCTGTTATATTTTACATAGAAAGAACAGACGGACGAGTTTATTAAACTCCCCCGAGACAATCTGCAAATGTCATTAAAAGTTTAATAAACTATCATCTTGTCTTTATTTTTAGTTAGCACATACATTAAACACTTAAAGCTGTAAGCTAATGATAGTTATATAAGAGCAGACACATGCTGATGCAATAAGCTGTACGTTTTATGTCCAATGGACGCATGATCTGATTAGTTGACTAATCGCAAAAAATAATCGGTGACTAGTCGACTATCAAAATAATCGTTTGTGGCAGCCCACATCAAGTAAAACAGCAAAAAAATAAATAAAGATCCAAGATTCAGCAGCACTAATTGCTGTCGCTTTTAAACCTATTTTCACCTGTTTAGCAGAAGTGGGGCCAATGGAGGTTTGCCCGGTGCTGCAGCGATCATGTCAGTCGGGGGTTCCTGAGGTGTGTCAGCAGGAACTAAAATCTAAGCTGAAGAAGAAGTTCCAGTGCATGTTTGAGGGGATCGCTAAAGCAGGAAACCCAACCCTTCTGAATCAGATCTACACAGAGCTGTACATCACAGAGGGAGGGACTGCAGAGGTCAATGATGAACATGAGGTCAGACAGATTGAAAAAGCATCCAGGAAACCAGACAGACCAGTCAGTCAAATCAGTCAAAAAGACATTTTTAAAATTCCACCTGGAAGAGATGAACCAATCAGAACAGTGCTGACAAAGGGAGTGGCTGGCATTGGGAAAACAGTCTTAACACAGAAATACACTCTTGACTGGGCTGAAGACAAAGCCAACCAGGACATCCAGTTCATATTTTCATTCACTTTCAGAGAGCTGAATCTTCCGAAAAAGCAAAAGTTCAGCTTGGTGGAACTTGTTCATCACTTTTTTACTGATACCAAAGAAGCAGGAATCTGCAGCTTTGAAGACTTCCAGGTTGTGTTCATCTTTGATGAAGATGAAGATGGCGCCGAGTATGGCAGCCTCATCGCGAGCTCCCCCAAGCAACAGCTTTTTTCTGTGTTTAATTTTACTTTTCCTTATTTTTTCGCGAGTAGCACATGTCTCCTTGTGTACGACCGACAAACCTTACTGGACATAAAAGACGGTCTTTCTTATAACTTTCCGG